TACACGATAATTTTATTTATGTTTATCATTCTTACAATCTTCCCGCATATTAGCAAGAGATAAAAAGCACAATAAAAGCAAAAGAAAATTCAAGCAATGCTTAATCATCATTAAATATTATGAGTTACAGGATGTGAATATTTACATAAGATCATAATAAAAATGATATAATTTAATAACTCCCGCACATCAACAGATTTCTCATTGCGTTCCTTCATTTTCTCGATTGCCACTGGATCCCCACGAGAATCTCGCGTTGGACCTAACAGAATAACGGTGGTTGTTGGTGCGTATTGCTTTACTTCAGCAAACTACTTCAATAAAAAATAAACGGAATGCTTAAAATGAACTATTTATGACAATAAGAGACATCATCCTAGTTCAATTATTTTTAGGAGATTACAGATTGTCCCTTCCATCGAATAAAGTTCCTCCACCACTAGCAAGATCTTTTTCATAGACGATATATACGCAGTTACCCTTGACTAATCCAATCCTCCATATTGTCATAATTCGGGGTTAAACAAACCATTTGAGGTCTGTTAATTAATTCTACTATGGTGGTGTAGCTTGGTTAAGATCCAATGATCCGATAGATAAATTTAATACAAGTGTGCATAGTGTTTGAGGGCTGTACGTAAACATAATCACGTGAATAAAGGAAATCCCGTTTGTTTCATTCCAACTACAAAAAATTGATAATAATCTAACAAAAATTCACGAAGAAAGTTTTTTACATCTGACTTTCATTCTGAGAATAATTTAATAATGACTCTCAAAGCTTATATTTCCGATTTCGAACTTAGTATTCCAGCAAATATAGAAAAATCAAAGAAAGAAATTTGTGGGGTACTTAGGTATTAAAAATAGAAAACCATACATTACGTTGCAGATATTTCTGTGATCCAAATTTGATATATCATCATGATCTATTCTAATTATGTAATCAGCCAAAAAAATGTGAGTGTCTTGTGCGCCCGTGATGAGGATTGCATCAAAAATTTGGTACCAACTCTGCGATAATTCAGAATGCTACTGCTGTACTATGTGTACTATGTGGCGTGTTTGATGCCAAAAAATATGACTATTATACTCATGGTTGTAATAAATTTACGAAAATAAGACTGTTTTAACTATCAATTAATAAAAATCAGAAAGTATTCTTCCTTTTTGAAAGATTTACCCATGTTGAAATCATGCAAAAAAGCATTTTGCACGATTAAGAGATGGGCTATTATATAAATGCAAATTTGCATTTGAAATAATTTAAATATCAATATGTAATCCAAAAACGTAAACACACAATAAATTATGTTTTAATTATTATAGAATTATTAAAAACTCAGCAATGGATTATGAGAAATGCTACATTAATTTTGACTATGAAAATTTAAGATATATGTTGTGTGTCCTCGAAGACTAGATACAATTCACAAAAAAATTATGGATCGTAACTTTCATCTGATAAGCTAATAAACTAATAGTCCAAGCAAATATACAAAAAATAACCCAAGAAATTTGCGAAGTGCTTGTTTATATTAGTTCAAAGTTGCTAGATGGAAAGCGACATACACAAGAGGACGAGAAATGGAAACCGAATACATATTTCAGCACCTTATGTATGACACCTTGAAAAGCTTTAAACTAAAAAGACCGACTTATATAAAATTCGATAAGAATAGGCGAAAAACATTTTTACAAATAAAATCTTCTCTTCTTTATGAGAAAAACAAATTTTTTATGAAAATTAATAGTAGTTTATGTGAAAGAATCAGATGTTGATTGAGCGTAGCGCTGAGGTGATTCAGTTTGTTTTATGTCCATTAATCCACTGGAATCGATAAATCAATATTCTAGAGTGAATTCATGCGTAATTCTCCATTCAATGGCCTTTTCCCAAATTTTAATCTCTTTAAAATTCAAATAATTTGTTTTGAACAAAGAAATGAGTTTTATTTCTTGAATTACTTGATGAAAATCACAGCCTTACGTATTTTTGATTTCCGTGCAGCATTTCAGATGTTATTTCTTTTGTAAAATAAATTATTCAGTAACTATTTATTTAGGGCTACAAATTTTCAATAAGAACCGATACTTATGAATCCTAAAAGTCCAAATAAGTTTTAAATAAATATGAACATTATAAAGTTTCGAACAATGTAAACAGCATTTGGATGGTTTATTCGTGGGAATATTTTTTTGCAAATAAAGTTTTTTGCCTTTCTAATTTAAATATTTTTTAATTTTATTGTTATTTTAATACAAAGTATTCACTTCTGCTCTTCATCAATAATTTCAGACTTGCTAAATCAAATAATTAATTTGCATTTAAAAGCTATAACTAGAAATAGTATTGATTACTTTATATAACTATATCCAATAAAAATATAACGCAATTTTATTATGTTCTATTAGTCACAATTACCAATATAAACTACAGTTCTGGCGGAAAGTAATGGCGGTTAAATTTATTTAAAGATAGAATTATTTTACATAATAATTTTATCTAAAATTTTATTTACATAATATATATAATTAAAGCATTATATTTTATAAATATTAATATTTCATCTATTTTTGTCATTTTTTATTAATAATATTGTTTTTAAAATTGATAAATAGATTTTCATTTACACATTTGATTTTGTATCTTAAGATGCGACATTTATTTTAAATAGTATTTTGAAAATAACTATAATCATATCAGCTGAATAACTTTAATTAATTACTCAAGATAGCTTTCTTAAATATATTTTTTGAAATATTAAGCATAGTTTCTAAATATTCCAATTTAATTCAATTGTAAATAGTCTTTTAATATATCTTAGAAAACAGGTATTTGTGCATCAAGTAATATTGTTCAACTGATTAATTTACACTTATAACATAGATTTCAGTGGAATAAATATTTTCTGTGATCTTTAATATTGATTTAATGGCCACCCCGCCATTACTTTCTGTCAGAACTGTAAAAATTTGTTAAATATCATTTGGAAAACATTGGATAAATTCATTAGAATTAAAATACATATACAGATAGTTAACAAATTAAATTTTCCATTAAGATCAAAATATAATGCAAAAGATATAAGGATCCTTTTGTTTTTACTGAGATTTTTCAACGTTTATTGAATCAAAGTTCTATCTAATTCAAAGTTTATTATGATACTAATCTTTGTATCTTAATGAAAAAATAAAGTGTTATCATCATCATCTACAATAATTTTTTCAAAGCAGAAAGTAAATATATTTAACATAAAATTTGAATTTTGATTGAGTACATGCTCCTTAATCAAATCTCAATTACTTTTATTTTAGAGTCAACTGCAAGTAAAATCATTTCCAAAGTTCGTTGTTTTTTGATTATCTTCGTGAATTTTTTGTGTTAAATGTTTCTTTTTCAACGTAATAAGCATCTATGGTTGATTTCTTTCCTATCAATGGAAAGGTTTCTAAATAAGAGTATTTAAATAAGAAATTTTATTTGGTAAAACATTATCGTTATTTTTTCGTAATCTGGCTCATTCGCGTTAGCTCATGCATGCATTGCCTTGTTTTGGGTTAAAAGTGTTTGTCAATTCTACGTGTGCATGTAGTACGACATGTGACAACGCCCGAGTAAAAAGTATAAACCCCCCGTTTTTGACGGACATTGGCGTTATTCTTTCAATAAAAAATAGATTTGTCTTTTTTCGAAAATACTCTTAATACAGATCTTTATCAATAATTCCAGCAGATACTAAAAATTCAATGGATAATTCTAATCGTATGGTTGTAACAATTGTTGAAAGTAATAAAGAACTTTCGTCGAAAATTATTTATTCTGACCGTCATCATGAAGAGTTTCGAATATCGTCACAGCATATTTCCAAAAAACAAAAAAGAGATGACGATTCAGACGACGAATATTCTCGCCGACTGCATAAACATCGCAAAAAATCAAATAACTTAAAGCAACATTCTTCCGCTTTTAAACAACAAGAAAATCCTGATTCCAATTATTCTCTCACTTCTAAGAAACACAAAATGCAAGAAGGTTCTGATTCGGATTCTTCTTACTCTAAAAAACATAAACAAGCGCATTTTTATTCAGATAATTCTCGGACCTTTATTAAGAAACTAAATTCGGAAAATCCCAATGAATCAATCAGCTATGAAAAAAATGCGTTTGAGTGGTTTTTGAACTCGCCAGAAAATGGAGATGTGGAAAGACAAAATGAAGTTGCTTATCAAGATAAAATAAGAATACAAAAAGATGAAGAAAAGACATTTCAATGGTTTTTGAAATCAGCAGAAAATGAAAACATTGGCTTTATTTTTCATGACGATAACATCACTAAAATTTATGATTTTTACAATCATGCAAAATGTTACTCTTATGAAACAGATGCAGTTGGAAACGAATACCAAACATTTGAAAAGTACTTAAAATCGGCTGAATTAGGAGATAAACATGGTCAATTTAAGTTGGCTGAATGCTATCAATATGGATTCGGAGTTGAACAAGATTCTGACATAGCTCTAAAATGGTACAAAAAAGCCCGAGATAATGGTCATGTCATGGCAGGGGAAATGATAGAGACTTTTAATTTTGAGCGTCAGCATTTTGTTTTACCGTAAAACCGCACTTATTTCGATCACCTGTGCGTTATTTCGAGATAAAAGATCGATTTTCTGCCAAACCTGATTTTGAGATAACGCTCATTTGCGTAGTCATAAAAATCATATAAATATACTTCTTTTGAAAGTATGAGCGTTTTTTCATTTTTATCTTATTTTTTTCCCTCGTATTTCTGTTGTTTGCCTTATATTACACGACGAACATCATAATAAAAAATGTTGGTCGTTATTTTTTTGTTTTGCGTGCAAGTTTTTTGCTTTATTTTACAAGTGAAAAGCACAAAACGAACTATACTATCACGTTTAAACTTGGGGTAATTTCCGTATACAGAAACTACATCCAACCATCATGATTCTTTATATTAAAAAATCAACCGAAATCGGACTCAAAAATGAATGACAACAGAAAAAAAGAGTTCGAGACTGTGTCAAGATTGAATTTATATTAAAAGAATGAAGTTTACCAATGTTATATAGGAGGTGTGCGTTATTTTGGGACGCCCATGGACGTTTATTTCGAGGCTACGTATGCTATTTTGGAGGATATGATTTTCGAAATAACGCACATGCTCGTTATTTCGCGGTTTTACGGTACTAAAAATATTCCCCTGTTTGCTATAAGCGGGCTTTGAATAATAGTATATGACATACCGACTAGACATAAAATATTCTTGATTCCACTATTCCGGCCCTTTTGATCCATCAACAAAATTTGAAACCTTCAATGAAGAGGATTGTTCATTGGCCATTATTAATTTAAAAATTTCCTATTCAATAGTGTTGAATAAGTTGAATTATTCAATGATTGAAGAATACCTACTAGTTCTTCAATATTTTTCTATTCATTTCTTGTTAATATAATATGGCCAATTTATTTTCTTGCATTATTTAATGTTAAAAGTCTTGCAATCACATTGTATATTGAGTTTCATCTAGTATCAACATTTTGAATTAATGTAGGTAATTCTTTGATAGATTGAAGAGCTATTTGAATTTGTAAAAATTGATTTTGATATTTATCTTGATATACAAGAAAAAGATAGAGTATCTTGACTTTTTAATAGTTCTTGATCAGAATCAATTTGTAATTCATCAGAAACTACTAGATGACTAGTATATATAACAAGATTTATAATTTATAATTTTCAAAAAGATTTCAATACTTTTTTATTATTATTATCAATACTAGTAATAACTTGTTCTTGTAAATTAATATATTAATATGTATTTTTTCAGTTATTATTAGATATTTCTTTAATAGTAAGTAAAGCTTAATAAAGTTTAAAATCTTTTGTTATCCAATATACAATTATTTTAATATAAAATCAATAAATCTAGTTATAAATCTATTATAAAACTTTATTTTTATCATAGATTTATCAAATAAATCAGTAAAATAAAAATAAAAGCTCTTGTATAGCTTTCAAATCTTTTTAAAAATTCAAATAATATAGCTAGTTATATATTAAATACTATTAATATTAATTTGAATTAGTATTTAAGTGATAATAATTTTAGATATATCTAGAATCTTAAATAATATATTAATTTTTTATATATTAAAAGATTATTAAAATCTTTTTATATTATTATTTTATAATAATTAATATATATTATTAAATATAATTAAAATTTTAAATAAAAATTATTTTATATTATTATTTAATGATAATTAAATTATAATTTTATATATAACTAGAAATTTAAATAGTATATTATACAGAAAATTTATTTATTTATTTATTTAGAATATTAAAAATTAAAATATTTATTATAGTAAATAAAAATTTATAAAGTATAATTTTATTATTTTATCTTCTTGAGCTTTATTAATTTTAAAATTTATAATAAACTTTAACTTAAAATTTAATCTTAAAAAATATTAAAATTTTATATAATAATAGTAAAATTTAATTTTTAATCTCAAATTCTAATCTTAATATTTAATTTTAAAAAAATTTTAATCTTAAAATTTAACTTCTTGAATTATAAATATAATTATTTAAGTTATTTTTAAAATATCTTTAAATATAAAAATTTCTAATATAATTAATATATTATTTAGATTTAGAATAAGTAGATTTTTTATTTAGAATAGAAAATATAATTTAAAATTTTATAATAAAAATAATATCTTTTAGATTATTAATAATTTTATAAATAAAATTTTTTAGAATAGAAAATAGAAGAATATATATATTTTATAATTATATTATATTTTATTATATAAAATATATAAGATAAAAATTTAATTTAAATAAAAATTTTTTATAATATATATAATAAATATATTATAAATAAAATATAATAAATATTTAAATATTAATTTTTACTTAAAATAAAATTTCAAAATTATTATAATAATATTAAAAAATAATATAAATATCTTAAAAGTAAATATTTATTATAAAATAAAGAATTTATAAGTTAATATAAAAAATAATTAAATAAATTATATAAATTTTAAGAGTCTAAATTTTAATAAAATTTTCTATAATATATATAATAAAAAAGAAATAAATTTTATTAAATCATTTATAATTTATATTATAAAATTATTAAAGTATATATAATATAAAGAAAAAAACTAAAAGAAAAACTTAATATATTTATTAATTCTTGAGAATTTACTATAAAGATAATTTAATATTATAAAAAATAATTAATATTATTTTTATATAATAATCTTTTAGAATTATTATTATTATTATTTATTAATTAATATAAAACTGATTATTTTAAATTAATAATTCTTTATTATAATATATAATCACAACTTTTTAAGTATCTCTCTCTTAAAATTATAATAAAAAAATAAAAAGTATATATTTAAAAAGAGTATATATTTATAAAAATTAAAATATATAGAACTCTTATAAGCTAAAATTAGAATATATTATATATTTAAAGAGAAGTTATATAATATATATACTTAGAAAGAGAGATATAATTATTATTACTATAATGACATAAAATTTCTTAATTTTATAATCTTTCTTTGATTATATTTTTCTATAATTTCATAATTTATTATATAATTATTCTTATTTTTATATTACATATTTATTTCTTTTACTATATTTATTCTTTATAATCATATTTTTATTTTAAATGTTATATTTTATTCTCTTTATTTAAAATCTATATTTTTAATTTATATATTATATATTTTTTATATACTTATTAAAATATATATTTAAAAATCCTTTTTAATTTTTGATAAAATGATGAAATATTTATATAAATATTAATATTTTGAATATTGATATTTTTAATATTGTTACCGTAGTGACATAAAATTTCTTAATTCCTTAATTTTTTCCTAGTTATGAAATATTATATTTTATTATAGTTTTATTTATTTTATAAT